CCTCAGCACCACATACAAAGATTTTGTGCCCGCCGATAACTAAAAAAAAATAAATATTAAAAATTCTCTCTACCTCTCTCTTAAAAAAAAAAAAGAAACCTCATTCTTGACCCATCACCTGATATGCAATATGAATACACACTTTGGTAGGGGTGGGGGCAAGATGTGGCAGGACATGCCCCAGGGGTGTGGTGGCAGCTGAAAGGAAAGGGCTGTGGCTTTGTATGTCCTTCTGTCCACTTGCAGAGAAGTGTATGCACTCAAGACTCCAGGACATGGGGTGATAGTCACTTTCTTCCTTATACTTTTGTTTTATTTATACAGACACGAAAAAACTTGTTTAAAATGGACAATGCAGAAGATGGATTAATCTACTTAAAATTTAATTTGCAAAATTTGAAACTCTTCATCCTCAAACTAAGAAGCACCAGTTATCTCAGGGTGTTTCAGCCAAGGGACACAGTTGACCGACAGTGGTTCCTCTGGCGGATCAAGGATGTACCACCAGACCCAGAGGCAGACGGGATGCACCCACTGCAGGGTCAGCCACGGTGCCTGAAGAACTGCACTCACCTTACCAAGGGCTGCGACCAGAGTGAAAAGGAAAGGCTTTTCTTTATAAGTTCCCGATTATCTTAATGCCACTGTGACATACTTTTGTAATTAAAAAGACAATAAGGCCCATATGAAGTCAGAAAACCCAACACGATGGGGTTGGGATGTGGCTCAGTGGTACAGTCTGCCAAGGAAAGCCAGCTCTACCTCTGAGCCACATCCCCAGCTCTTATTTAAATTTTGAGACAGAGTCTTGCTAAATTGCCCAGGCTGACTTTGAACTTGGGGATCCTCCTGCTTCAGCCTCCTCAATCACAGGGATTACAGGAGTGCCCCACTAGTGAAGATTTGTAATCAGGACCAGACCTTCCCATGAAGCTCACTTAAAAATCACAAAGCTTCCCTGTGTGACGCCCTCCTCCCTGCAAAATCTGAAATGAATTCACCTGTGCCAGGCTTGGGAGAGGGAACAGTCCAGCCCAGCCTGTAAAGGCCAGTGACAAGCTGGGGACGGAGGGCAGGTCCAGCCCCCAGCCAGGATAAAAGGCTCCGGGAGTTGGAAAAGTGACTCTAGGAGCTTCAAGAGGCTGTAACCAGGTGCCCTGCTACTCCCAGCTGATGGCAACCGCAAATGCCATCAACACAGATTCTGCTCTGGAATTTGGGGGCCTCAAGCTGCGTGACTTAATATAAATGAGCAAAGAAACTGTGGCAGCATGTACCTCTCCAGGGCTCAATGACCACATGAAATGAGCCAGCCCCTCCCACTCAGTTCCAGGGCAGTGACACCACACATAGCTTGTTTAGAATCCCTCCCCTCTCGTGCCCTGCCCTTGAGTCCAGCCTCCTCTGGCTGGAGCAGTCTGTCTGCTCCACCCCAGCCTGCTCTGCAGCTTCACCCAGCATCCTCCCCTCTGGCTTGGGCTCCCAAGTTCATTCCCACTGCCACCTGCTTGACAGGGACCTCAAACAGCAGTGGAGCAGGAGGTGGATGGTACCCAGGGGCTGGACTCCATAACCAAGCAAGGCTGGGGGTGGCAGCTGGCAAAGTGCAGGCGGGGCCCTGGTCTGAAATGAGTGTCTTTATTGCTTGTACCGTACAAACACAAGGGGTTAAGAAGGGCCAGTGGGGACGGGGAGAGCTGTCAGATAAACATCATACACACATGAGAAGGGAAAGAGCCCCCGTACCCTCCCCACCCTCCCCACAATGCCTTTCTATGGACTGCCCAGTAGGGAGGAGGATGGGGAGGTCGAACCACAAAAAACAAACTGCACACACCCAGAGACGCCGGGGGCAGGGGGAGCGAGGACATGGGTGGGGAAGCAAGTGGACCCCAGGTACCCACTCCCCACACACGATGGAGCGCTGGGCGGGTGGGGCCCAAGCGCACACACACCACGCACACTCGAGGGCTCAGACACACTGCCCTCACACACATACACACACACACACACACACAAACACAGCCATGCACACCTGCATCCCAGCAGCTCAGGGACGCCCACGGACACAGTCCACAGCACACACACGTGTGCTTATAGCACTGACACGTTCTCTCCATCATGTTCACCTTAAGGCTGCAGAATTTGGGGCCCTGGAGATGGGAAGGGGTGAGGTGGCCTGGAAGCCTCCCTTCTCAGAGGCCCTTAACCTCAGTATGTACCGAAGATGCCCTCCCCTGCCCCTTCTCTCCCCAAGTCCACGGGGCCCAATACTGTCTCGGTGAGATGTGTAACAGCCGAGGCTAGTGCCCTTCTGCCTCAGGCAGAAAGAAGTGGACAGTCCTGGCCCCTGTTCTCAAAAGGAGCCAAGGCCAGACCCAGGGTCCAGTGGGAGGTAAGGCCAGCTGGAAGGAAGCCCTGGTAAGGCACAGGGTTGGGGGGCAGGCAGGCTGGCCCCCCATTGTTCCTTCTGCCTCACCCACAGAGTTAGCAGAACAACTTGGGGAGGGAAAGGGAAAGGAAGGGCCAGAAGGCAGTGACCCTCTCCTGGTTCCCCATGACGCAGGGATCTGGCTCCATTCACAAGGAGCCCTAAACCCCGATCCCACCGGTCCCTGGACATTATTGCTTTTCTGACCCCAGTACGGGGGTGGCAGGTGGACCTCCTCTCGCCAGACCCCTGGGGCCTAGGCGACAGGCTGTGGAAGGTGGCACGGGTGCTGTCCGCTAGGCGGCCGTCCCACCAGAGGCAGCTTCATCCAGAAGCAGCAGTGTAGCCAGGCTGCCTGCGTGATGCCCAGCCAGAAATTCAGGCAGGACCCGGGGATCCATGCTTCACCCTCACTGGGGCCTGTTTTTGATTAAAAACCTGAATCCATCCTCCCAGCAGCCCATGCTGGGGTGGGAGGTGGACAGTCCCTCCACACAAAGGGGAGGTTAGAGGCCAAGGCTGTGGGGACCACTGAGGTGAATTTGGGAGAGGACTGAAGAAGGAACTGGAAATGGGGGTGAGAGAGTGAGGGATGGGGACACAGACCAAAAAGGCAAAATAAAAAGTCTTTTTAAAAGCCACCCAGTTGGTGGATGGCGGCCATGCAGGTGTCCTGTGGTGACAATGGGCTGCTCACTCCCGGATGCTGGCTGAATAGGAGAACTGAGGGAAGTGCGTCCGCTGGTCCAGCTCCAGAGAACCCAGGCTGTCATCTGTGGGTCAGGAGGAAGCGTATTTGGGGTACTGGCCTGCAGAGGGCCAGAGGCACCCACAGACTCCCTCAGGATACACCCAGAGGAAGGATTGCAATGGGGTCACAGAATGAGCCCAGCAGGGAGTTCCAGCAAGATTGGAAGGGATGGCTCAGAGGCACCTTCCTGACAGAGCCCCTGCAGCCATGTCCCTCCCCCAGGCCCTGGGTAGTCTTGTGTGGGGAAACTCCACAGGCCCATCACCCTGACCCTGTGTCCTCTCAAGTGTCCTCCTCCCATTCTCTCCCCATGCCATCACCAAGGTCCAATCCAGACGCCTCAGGCCCAGTCCCCTCAGGCTCAGTCCCCTGCCCTGGCTTGCTTCAATCTACCCTCCACGTGCAGCCAGGGGATTGCACAGAACCCTCCCATGGCTCCCACATGAAGGTTCTCACCCCGTGTTCCTGGGATGCTCCCACTCTGACCCCCATGCCCTCCTGCCTCTTCCCTGAGCCCACAGCTACCCTGCCTGCAGCCTGTCCCTTTGACTGCAAAACTCTCTGCACTACTGGAACCAACATGCCACTCTTGCCAGAAAGCACAGGCCAGGTGAGGCACTTCCTCCATGAGACCCCAGTCCCTGGGCTTCTACACCAGGCTGACTGCTCTGGGCTGTCACAAAACCTAGACTGGAAGCTCTCCAACAGCAGGGCCCAGGGATGGCTGGGTCACTGCTGTGAGGCTTTGGAGTAAAAACACAAATAGCTTAAGAGTCAATGAACTTAAAAAACCAAAACAAAACAAAACAAAAGTCAATGAACTAATCCAGCCCAAAGACCCCAGCCACCTCTTGACCAGTGCTTTCCCCTGCAGCTCTGGACTGCGCTGTAACCAATGGCTCCTGGTGACCTTCACCAGACCAAAAAGAACCCAGCAGCAAAAGGCCTGCAAGCAGATGTTAGGGAAAACTGCCTAGAGGCAGACCCCACCTCTCCTCCACCCAGGCAGGCACTGTGATGGCCAACGGGGCCCCCAGACACTCACAGCGGTCCGGGGGTGTGATTGTGATGGACTGGGCGGTGAACTCGTCATCAAAGTACCTTGTGTCAACCTCAGATGTGACCTGAGGCTTGAAGGGTGGCAGGAGCTATGGAAGAGAATAGCCCAGACTCAGGGACCCTGAGGACAGGCCTTGACCTAGGTCACCCACAAATGGAAGAGGCCCCCAGGAGTTGCTGGAGGCACACAGGTGGGCACTCACCTTCTTTTGCACCACATCCTGCCAGTTGATGCTGAGGAAGAACCTGTGCTCCATGACCTCCTTGGCATCGCTGGGCCCCCCACCGAGCCTGGGCAGAGACGGCCATCAGCACCAATCTCCCAGAGCAGCTGGGTCTGGGAGATGGGCTTCAATGCAAGCAGGCTAGAGCCTGCAGCGGGAAGTATCTGCACAGCCTTTCGCGATTCTGTCCCAGCCACAAACCACCACTTCACAGAGGGGGAAGCCAAGGCTCAGGAAGGGGCGCTCATGACCACCTGGTCTCACAGCCTGCCTCACTGAGTCCAGCAAGAGTGGGCGGGAAGGCTTGGCCACAAGACTGCCCAGTCCTCAAAACCCCATGGAAGGGCAGGGAGGGCCAAGCATGGGCCCGGCCAAGGGGAAGCCCTTCAGGTGCTAGCTGTGTCTACCACAGGCTGCATGGGGGATGACATACTGCAGGCCCATAGCAAGTGCACCTGTAGACACTGCTCTCTCTAGGCCAAGGGGCAGCGGCAGCAGGTAGCACTGGGATGGGCAGGCAGATGCCAGCCCTCACCTCTGCTTAGGGTCCTTTTTCAGCAGCCCAGCCAGCAGGGACTTGGCCTCGGGACCAAGCGTGCGTGGGAAGCGGATCTCCTCCATGAGGATGAGCTCAAAGAGGCGCTCATGGTCCTGGTTGTAGAAGGGCAGGCGGCCGCACATCATCTCGTACATGACCACGCCCAGCCCCCACCAGTCCACGGCCCGGCCGTAGTCATTGTCCTCCAGCACCTGGGGAGTGAGGGGCAATAAGCAGCCAAGCCACAGTCCAGGGCCAGGCAGGGGAGAGAGGAATCAGTTTTGCCCTCAGCATCTAAGCCAAGCAGGCACACAGGCCCGGGGGCCCTCCACCCTTGGCCTACGTGTTCCTGGGCCCCCAGCTCCAGACACCTCAGGTGCCAGGTACTCCGGGGTCCCACAGAAGGTTTTCATGGTGGCACCGTCACTGATGCCCTCTTTGCAGAGGCCAAAGTCGGTGATCTTGATGTGGCCATCTTTGTCCAGCATGAGGTTTTCCAGCTGCAAGAAAAGTCAATAGATGAGGGGAACATCCTCCTGGATTCTGTCACCAGCCTTCCCCTCCAAGGGGCAACGGGCTGGGGTGGTAACTGTCCAGCCAGCAGCTCCTCAGCACCGACTCCTGGGGCCAGGATGAGCCCAGTGCATGGCCACACAGGCTGAGGCGCAGAGGGAGGCCAGGCCCAATGCCTCCCTTCCTCTAGCCACACCAGGCAAGCTGAAGGAGCCAGGCCCTGCTCCAGCTGCTGCCTCCACTGTGGGCTGCAGTTACTTAAGATCCAATTGGAACTGAGGGCACTATCCTTCTTCTATTTTTTATTAAACTTTTTTTCTTTTAATTATGATGCACACACCACAAAAGAAATAGAAAACACAAATGAAAGAGGTAGTAGAGCCTCTGTGCAAACTGTGAGGTCAAGAAATAACATCAGTAGCCCTCTGGAACCCTATTGTGCCCCTTCCCAGGTATTAACTATCTCCCACCCCAACCCCCACCCCCACAGTGAAAAGCAACTTTTTTTTTTTTTAGGTACCAGAGATTGAGCCCAGGGGCACCTAACCACTGAAGCACATCCCCAGTCCTTTTTATATTTTATTTTGAGACAGGGTTTTACTAAGTTACTTAGGACCTCATTAAATTGCTGGGGCTGGCCTTGAACTCATGATCCTCCATCCTGCCTTACTTAGCCTCTGAAGTTGCTGGGATTAGGCATGTGCTACCGTGCCCAGTGAGAAATCACTTTTTTAATTCCTTGCTTTTCTCTATAGTTTTGTTTTCTTTTGTGGAGCTGGATATGGAACTCGGGGCCTTGTGAATGCCTGCCACTGAAATACCTCAGCCCTTTCCTCACTGGTTTTGACATCTACGTGTACACCTGTGAGCAGTGCTGGACGTGTCCCACCTACTCTGGCCTTTCCCCCGACTCCAGCCTATGAGCTGCATCAGCACCCCTGGGCAGCTGGGCTGCTCTCTCTGCTGCAATCCTGCCATGGAGACACCACAGTACACCGTGCCTATTCCACAGCAGCAGGCGTTCTGAGCTAGTGACAGTGCTGCTCTGAGTACATGCACACTTTCTGGGGTGAGCACGTGTCCCTGTTTCCGCTGTGCACACAGCAGGGCAGGTGGCGAGTGTTCAGCTTTGGTGGAGGCTGCTACTTTCTAGAGTTTATACCAACTGACACTCTCACCTGAAGCCCTGGAGCCACACAGCGACTGGGAAAGGCCTTCACAGTGGAACCAGCTGGGCCCACCTCCCCGTGTGAGTGCCATGCACATGCCAGGGGCCAGCCTAGCCTGCCAAGGGCACACCCTCGATCCCAGCCACCTGCTCACCTTGATGTCACGGTACACCACGTCCCGTGAGTGCAAGTACTCGAGAGCTGAGACAATCTCTGCACCATAAAACCGGGCCCTCTCCTCTGTGAAGACACGCTCCCGGGATAAGTGGAAGAACAGCTGCAGGGGACAGGGGAAGGTTAGACCCCAGCCTCAGGAAGGGAGGATGGCTCAGCACCCAGCCCCATGAGAGAGTGACACTTGCTCCCTGAACAGGAAGGACATTCAAGAGGCACCAAGTGAGGGGTGGTGAAATAATAGCTCACACAAAAAGAAAAACCAAGCAAGGGATGAAAAATAAGTCAGCAGGTGCCCACAGAAAGATAAGGAACAGGTGAAGGAATCGGTGACAGCAGGGAGACAGGCATGTAACAAGCAAGTGACAGAACATGCTGAGCAAGACCAAGTCAGATAGATATGACCACATCCCAGTCAGTCACATGTGTGTCCAGAGGGTAAGAGGAGCAGCAGGGGACAAGAGCAAGCATGAGCCACTCAGTGACAGAGTGGCTGGATCAGTCTGCACAGGGAGGACATGGGGTCAGAGGGCTGGTGCATCTTTACCTCCCTAACAACATCCTTCCTCTCACTGTCGGCTGACCGCCCCACAACCTCTCCCCACCCCTCTGCACCTGGGTTTGGATTCTGTCCTGAAAACTCTCTCAACAGCTGTGTGAACTTGGGCAAGCCATTTAACCTCTCTTGAGTCTCAGTTCCCCACCTGCAAAATGGAGATGATGCCACCTGGCTCAAAGGAGCAAGGGTGCGGGGTGAGGGCAGAACCCAGTGATAGGAAGCCTCCATCTGTCCCTTCCATCTCACCCAGATCCTCTCTGCCTGCCCCCATACTCTGGAAGGAGACCCCCACATGCAAGGCCGGTGGCTGGGGCTCACCTCACCCCCGTTGGCGTACTCCATGACGAAGCACAGGCGGTCGTGGGTCTGGAAGGCGTACTTCAGCGCCTGAGGGAGGAGGGCACAAGGGCCACTGGGGTCAAAGGGGGGAAGAGGGCTCTGCCTAGTCCAGGAGGAGAAAGCAGTTTATTCTACCTGTACACACCCGCCCTGGCCTGGGCTGCTGTCAGGCAGGTGAGTTCAAATCCCAGGCACCGCTGGGGGAGAAAGTGTGTTCTAGGCAAGCAGGACTTGTCTTCCTTCTTGTTTTAACAGTACGGGTGTTAATAGCTCACTCGCTCGCTCTCGCTCGC